GGTGGTTTATATCCTTGAAAAGTCAGCTTGCTGTGGAGTCTGGACTTGAGCACCAGAGTGCTCAGAGTGGACTGTGGAGGGCGCATTATTTCTCATTGCCCACACTACTAGTACCGTACTGGATCAAATCTGCAGCGCACCTCCATTGGCTCCACTGGCATTGATCAGAACACCAATGGTGACGCCAATGGCTGATTCGAGAGCACTCCTAGCAGCTCTGGCTTCATCATCTTGGAACCTAGAACTTGTGAATGCCTCAAGCTGGCGTTGGCAGTTGCACTCCTTGGATAGTAGGCGCTGGCAGCAATGCAGGACCTAATTGATTTCAACAGGACATGTCAAGCACTGCCAGGTTTCCCCCATGCCCAATAAACGTAGCATTAAGAAAATGTGGCGGAAAAAAATACTGGGCCAAGCATTCCTCTTTCACCTTCTTTTCAACACTGGTAACATCAGCCCACATTCATACAAGCCCTTTCAGCATTCCAAGCAGGAATCCAGGGAAACCAGGGGCTGTTTCAGGAAGGTGCCCGCCGCTAGCCCCTTCGCTGTCGGCCTCTGGGGGTCTTGATGGCCTCCGTTTGCCACCACATTCCTCTGAGCCTATTTTCAGGGCATATAGCAGGATTGGAATCATCCCGATTCACTTATCCTAACCCGACGGCCCCCATTGTCCTCCGGACCCCGTTCTATCCAACCGGCGCTCCGTTCTGCCGTCGAGGAACAGCGCGATATCATCGCAAGTCGCTCAAAGTGTGTGCAGCCGCAGTGGTAAACAGAGTCGCACACGGTGGTGCAGCAGAGCCAGTAATGTGAGTGGGCTGGTCCCTTGTGCTGAGAGACAATCTTGGCTGGCACTTGCAGACAAATCGTGAGAAGAATCGAAAACGCCGCTTTCAATTGGATCGAGTCATTGATCATCAGCTTTCTTCAAGCGATTTCCTGTGCTCAGAAGGTTATGTATGCGTGGGCAGGCTGACTCTGCTCGGGTCGGCTCACTGGTCTTTATCAGCAAGTGAAGTTCTGCTCCAGAATCATCTTCCACTATGAAACAGTCGGGAATTGCCAATATGTGAAGGAACTGGATGTTAAGTCTTGGCCTAATGAAAGATCTGAGAAGCTAAACTAGCCCAGCCTCAAGACAGTTTCTAATGAGCGCCTGCCATCCCTGCCCCTTGAAAGCCAATCACATCACTCTAGTAAGCCACTCAATGACAAAGAATGACTATCTTCATGAGAGGCCTTTTCACACCCCCCTGCAGGAAGACTGTCATCCTAGGCACTGTGGACGAGAGCGAGAACCTGACGCTGGACAAGATCCGCGACAATCTGATCCGCCAAGAAGACACCATCATCTTCAGTCTGATCGAGCGTGCCCAGTTCCGGCAAAACTCTGCAGCGTACGATGCAAAGAGTAACTCCGTCCCCGGGTTCGATGGTAGTCTGCTGGACTACCTGCTGAAAGAAACGGAGCACTTGCACGCAAAGGTGGGCCCAACATCCTTGATGTTTCATACTTCCGTTATGAAAGTAGTCGGTCGGATCTCCTTCGTCACTCGAAGGATTCACAATTTTGACACGATCCGTGTCCTATTGAAACCAAAAGGAGGTCTGGGCACTATCATTTTAAGAGTCAGTCAAATGGATGCAGTTCGTCAGAAAGGAAAGGCTGCGGCATCACTTTCTGTCCTTCTGAAGAGTAACATATCTTAGTACAAATCCTTGATCATTCTTGCTGCAGGTGCGCCGTTACACGAGCCCCGTGGAGCACCCTTTCTTTCCCGACGACCTTCCCGAACCCGTCCTACCCCCTCTGGCCTACCCACAGGTGAAACGACTGCAACACTACGGCCTGCCTTCTTATCCAAGCACTGTCCAAGCGACTCAGGCTCCATTTCAATGTGTTCGTATCGAATTTTCCAGAGTGATTCAGCGATGGACGTGGCTAGGTTTTAACCAGGACTTTTCCCTTGCGTCTCCCTAAGCACAGTTTTGTGCATGATCGGGAGATGATTCGATACTGTGCCCTCCGACCATGCACAATCTCGCATACTCCCTATTTGCCAAGGTACCCCCACAACACCGAGATTTGAGAGAGGTGTCACGGCCAGCAACGCCTCGTTACTGACGAAACTTGCCTCACACATGTGACGCAGATCTCCCTGCCTGCTGCTTCGCGTATTTCTCGATCTAGTGAACAGTAAGCATTTTGGGGTTCACTAGAAACCCTGACCCGAAAGATCACCCGCTCCGTACCCGTACCCACCCTTATCCCCTAAGGAACTCTACCCGTCTCCATTAATATTCACTGGCTGTTACTACCCACTACAATGGTTGGGACTCCTTCGCCACATGCTACAATTGACCCACCGCTGCAACGTCTTTGGTTCGGGCAGCCCCAAGCAAACCGTTCCAATCGTCGTTCCTGTCTAGATCAGGCTCCGAGAACGATACGTTTGAGCATAAACTTATGTTAATCATGCCCTTGCGACCGCAGGTGCTGGCTCCTGCCGCCAAGGACATCAACATCAATCCGCGCATTCGGGCCATGTACTTCGAGGACCTGCTGCCCAAAATCGCCTCTGCGGGGGACGACGGAAACTACGGCTCCACAGCATGTTCCGACGTCCTCTGTTTACAGGTGCGATGCACAGCAGAGAATGAATTGAATTTTAGATGCACGCTTTGTTGCGGTGATTGTGCGCCTTTGAGCTTTCGAGCGGCACTAGTTTGCCAGGCCTCTGACCTTTTGCATGATGTGGCCAATTGTGATACGCCTCACACTCCATCCGGGTCAAGCAAACCAGCGACTTCGCCTCTGGAGGAACTACAATGAAATTGCGGATCGACCAGTGATCGGATGGCCCCCCTGAATTTTGCGTTTCGGTTCTCTGGACAACCTCGCCTCGGCTTTACGAACCGCCGCGTCATTTAAGCGCGGAATTCGCCAAGGCAAAGCCCATGCAAGTGACCCTTGTTGCGCTTGCTGTGCAGGCCCTGTCGGCGCGCATCCATTACGGAAAGTTCGTGGCGGAAGCCAAGTTCCGACAGCAGCCGGATCTGTATATTCCACTAATCGAGGCGCAGGTCAGTGGCTCCTTTTCTCTCTTCTTTCGCGGGCCGCAGTCAAGGAGGCGGGGGATCACTCTGGTCATTGGCACACAATCAGGGCGTACGGGCTCGCCCGTTAGATGGTGGGACGATTGGATTGACTAGCCATCGCTAAACCGGATCAAAGGGCTTCTGAATCGGAGCGTGCTTGTGAAATGTTTTCTAGTGGAGCATGTGCGATGGAAGAGTTTTTCTCTCGGTCGGACCCCGTCGTTTCTGAACGGCAGTCCCGATAAGGACTCGGGAGTCGCTAACACGTGGAGGTCAGTGGTCGTTGTGACGCCAATCACCAGCAGGTTGAAAAGGAGCCTGATTCGAGATCTTTCATAGTTCGCTGTTTGAATTTTTGCTGGATTTCGGCTCCGTATTCAAGTTCCTTATCGAACGTTTGCATTGCGTGGCAGTCTACGAGCCCATGTAATGAAACGCCAGCAAACGTGGTCGGATCCGCTTTCTGCAGGATAAGCAGGGCTTGGTCGACCTGCTAACCTTCCCGGCACAGGAGCAGAAAGTGCTGGACCGTGTTGAGCTGAAAGCGGCGACGTACGGGCAAGACGTCACGCAGGCGGCGCCATTGGAGCACCGCACGTACAAGATAGAGCCCAAAGAGATTGCCAGGCTCTACGGGGAGTGGATCATCCCGCTCAATAAGGACGTGCAGATTCAGTACCTGCTCAGACGGTTGGATGAGAGATAAAGTAAGCAGTCCGGTCAGTGAGATGGTCCGAAAGCCCTCCTCGTCGTGTTTGAGTTACAACAGCGTTAGCTGGAATTGCAACGTCAATGCATTGCCTAAAAGAGAATGTTCGATCGCACTTCTAAGGTAATCTTTAGGGGTCATTACGAGAAGCATCGAGGTAGGCGCTCGAGGATAATCAGCTCGTCTGGCGCTCGTTCAGCTGATGACCCGCTTGCCGTAATCCGAAACAGCGCCCGGATCCATCTGTCTGCTTGCGATGAAGCTGCGGGACTTTGCAGAGCAAGTTCCACGGTCAATCGATAGTTGATCAAAATTACCATAACCAGGAGGCCTCTAAATTCACTTTGCCTGCAAGGCCGGCAGCAGAAATGTCAAGCATCTGGCAAGCGGCAAGACTGATCCAGGCACGCGTGTTGGTAAGCATGCCTGGTCCAGCATGATCATGCAAAGTGGCATACACAGGGTTATGCGTTGCATGCATGTGCCCAGGGCGCCGAGGCCAGCGCGTTGTCCGCAGGCCGCCCATGTGCATATGTACTGATTGATTGCACGCTGAGCGCTTAGTAGGGGCGCCACCTCCATAATTATAGGTACCGGTAACCGTAGTACTTATAAATGTACCGTTCGGTAAGCTTACAATCTTAGTACACGTACATGGGCAATGGTAACTTCTCATTGGTTAACGCCCTTAGCCACATTAGGCAATGCATTGGCAATACATGGACCGTCACGTCGGTGCATTGCCGCGCTTGCAGACGAGGGGATCATTGCACGTACCCGGACCGCGGCACCTATCTATACAAATGATTTCGCAGGTAATGACCCTCAAACGTAGATATATGTAATTCGTGATCCATATGCGCATCTCCATGCACGCGTGGAGTACGCGCGTCCATTTGCCGAATGGACGCGAATCGCATGCTGCACCCCAGCCCGGCCGCAGGCTGCAATTGATTGCGTCTAGAGGAGAACATGCAATCATGGCTTCAGATTAAACAGTTGACCCATATTGAACTTATCAAACCGTTGGACGGATCCTAAGATCTGTGACTCTATTTTGAGTAGTGGACAAGGAGTCGCTTCGTAATCAGAAGGATCGATCATCAGAGTTGAGCTTGAGTCCAATTACGCTAGCAGATAAATCGGTTAACTTGAGATGTTTCGGACTCTATCGGACAAAAGTGACAGTCAACACAAATATTAGATTACCGATTGGAGCTCTGCATCTCTAACCGGGCGATGGTCCTGGCCATACTCCAATCAGCGAGATGGGCTTGGCAATCTATCAGCTCAACTTTGCCCAGAATTAGTATAGAGGTCGCGGACCTCCAGCCTACCGTACACCAACCTGGGACACTTTATCCAATGCACTTAGACGTGTTAGATGACCACGGTTACCTTCATTCGGACCGCCCATGATTTCTAGAAAGCGACCCTTGCAAACCGCTTTACTTTGCCTGCTGAAGCACCACTAGTAAGGAGCGTATTTACAGTGCCGGCCCAAAGCAAACCTGTCCTACTATTACGTAGATAAAGCAGCACTCCTACTGCTTTTTCTTGATCGCCGTTAGGGGCTGATACCGCACCCGATTATAACGTAGAGTGATGTACGCCAGGAAGTGGGCGCCAATCATGACGATCGTCTGGTAGCCAATGGACTCCCACACCTGGCACAGGATCAGAAGACGGGCCAAGTGAGCAGACTGGTCAGTCACGGCGTTGATAGTTGGTGTCAATAACGTTCCTCATGACGACTGGTCGAGCAAGGGGTATCTGTCGGAATCTAGGTTTGAACGTGCACGTCACGATACACAAAGAAAGGACAATAACAGCTTTGCCAAGCTGCTTCTCGGCAAAACGCGCCTTGCAAACCAAAGCCTCCAGACCCTTACGGTAAGGTCGAAGACTGTACTCAAAGAAGAAACCTCGGGAAGCACCTGATCGAAGACAACGGATCGCCGTACGGGCGTGACAGCATCAAACGCCCTGACACGACCAAAGGAGGCATGAACGTCGTACCATACAAGTCGCACCTATTTCAGAAGTGGTTCTAGAGCACAACTCTCATTTTCTCAAAACACCGGGAGAAGTAAACAGGGGCTCTTTGTTGCTTCTGCACTCACCGTGTAGTCCTCGATGGACAGGTACCGGAGGTACTTGTCCCCGGTGCTGTAGCAGGTCGACTCAGTGACGTTCGCGCACCCGCTGAAGCTCCGGCCTGCAACAAGGGCTGGCACTGTCAGGAACGAACAACTAAGAGCATGCGGCCAGGTTTCTGCCAGACGGCGGGTCTCGGATATCCAGTGGCACTACGCGACAGTTACAAACGGTACACTAGAGAAAGAGAGCGCGACCGTCAACGAGCAAAGCCGGGAATGCTTCAGAGACGAGGCTTTGATGATAATCACTTTCCAATGATTTTGGGTTTCCTGAGTTTCAAGACGGCAAGCTCACCTTCGAGCTCGTTGATAGAGAAACCGATGAAGGCCCACTTGATGGGCGACAGGTTGCTGATCCAGCGCAGCGCGACGGGGATGCTGTTCAGGTTAATGTAGAAGCCGCCGAAGAGCATGCAGATAACGGTCACCAGCGGGCCCAGCGCGAGAGCCACCGGCGGAGTGGGCGCGATCGCTGACACCTGGCAGAACACGATTGGACGGTGCGTTTTGTGCTGAGATTCCGTGGATATCACATTGAGCCCGTCTAGGCTTCGGAGAGTATAACACAGAGGTTTGCGGAAAAGATGGGGTATGAAGCCACGTGGCTAAAAGACGCAAACTTTCTGAGCTTCTCTTTGACACCTACACGCCACTTGGATGCAGATAATGCTGTTGCTAACGGAAGAGACGGAGGAAATCTTGTCTGGGAAACAGGGGAGAACGAAGCCTAAAAGTGATGCTATTTGAGTATGTGTGATTTTCGCGGCAAGCTCAAACTGTCCGCAAAAAGAGAAAGGAAAAGAAGAGAGCACTCGGCAGAAAGTCTTGACAGGAGATTCATAACCCTGCAAGCAACCGTCAGGAGGTATCATTATGTTGATTTCTAGTTCATTTCATAGTAGGGCTTGAACATGTTTTTCTTAAGGGTTCAGCTCGCGGGCACCACCAGAAAAGACACCGGTTTTAAGGGCCTTAGGACTTGTTTCTCTCAAAATTTTGGCTCTGACAAACTCAATATGTCAAGTTCCCGCAACAATGAGGTTCCAGGACTTCAACATTGAAAGGCTGCGGCGTACGGCAACGTACCAGCAGGCCGACGCCGTTCATGGCGGTGAATTCCCAGATGCCGATGAGGAGGTAGCGGAAGAACTTGCCGGCGTCGTGCTGGAAGCCGACGATCCAGTAGACCACCGTCACGAAAATGATGGTGGCAATCACGCGCAGCGGCCACTCCCTGTGACAACCAAAACCAAGCAGAGCGCTTACACTTTGACAATGAAGAACTAACGTGGCCGCGGGACGAAACCATTTTCATGTCCGGAGAGCCGTACTCACATAGACCGATAAGCAGGACGCCGAGTGGACCGCTCACGCTCGTATGGGACAGGCCGCAACGGCCAGCGGATCGAAATGGGTTCTGTTTCACGAGAGGCCGTTATCACACAGACATAAAGCGGGGCACGGCGCAGTTTTAACACATTCTGTCCCGAGTTGTAGTGCTCTAAGGGCCCTGCCCACCCGCTACCCCCAAATCGATTGAAGGTTTAACGAGCAAATGATCTAATGTGGCATGAAGTTCCAACAAGGACACGAGAATACTCGGTGTGGGTGTGCCATCGAGTAGGTTCGAAGTGGAAGGAGATAACCGGAGCGAAATGCACCGATTTCTTTAAGGACCTGGAATGCAGCCGATGTACGTGTTGCGGCGGGCCTCTGTCCATCTGACAGGTACAGCAGTGGTTGAGTGCCTTTCAAAATCCAGACTCGAAGAGAGGACTGCCAAGGCTTCCCTAAATACAGAACCAATCACCATGTCTAAGACGAACGGCGGCACTCCAAGAAAACTTGGCAGCAAACAGTGAAGAAATAGGGACAAGAAGAGAGCAAGCGGCTGAGAATGAACCCTTACGCAATAACCTTGGCGGGGTAGAAAGCGGAGACCCGGTATGCATTGGCGGCTCTCTCGCGGGCAACTGGGGAAGGAAAATGCACGGTTCGGCATGAGCAACAAGCTACTCCGACGCGTTTGTGACTGTGTCGAAGCCGCTCGGGTTCACTTGTGAATGCCAACGCGACATCATCGGGGTTGCCGTGTAGATGCAGATTACCGTGTGCAAACTCTTTATATGACGGTATGGAAGAGAGAAGTACGCAGAGCAGGAAGGCCGCAAACAACTCATTAAGGTTCCCTCCACTGTAGTGATCTAGCCTGACGTTTGGAATGAAAAGGCCACGTCAAGCGATGCAACAGAAGAAGGTTGTAGGAGTGACAGGGTTGCTAGAGCCATGCTCAGAGTAAAAGCGGTCTGCGGAGCCAAACTCACTGACGGCCCGCTCCACCGGGAATGTCGTGATCATTTGGAACACTCCGTTGAACGCCTGCGGACGGCAAGCACGTGCTTTTTACGGAAACGCAAAGGTAGGGAATGACGCTCTGGTCGAATGATTGAATGCAGACGAGATGGGACGCCCTCATAGTAGGATCAAACTCACACGCTGGTTGAGAATTCCACTGCAGACAACCACTTGGATGGACGCATACGTGGATGAAAATAAGCACGAAGCTAGGGAGGCGCAAGCAAATGATGACTCCTGGCTCACAGAAGAGTTCAGCATGTTCTGGGAAAGCGAAGTCAACTTCGAAACAATTTCTTAAAGGAGCGACATTCTTGTCAACCGTAGCGATGCAAACCTCTACTATACCTGGGCAGCGTCTGAGTGAGTGAAGTGACAAATCCCGCTGTAAGAAATGATCGATCGTACCAGGACCCAATCGCCCTTGTTTCGTTCGGGCCCTGTTCGGGGCACTCACCACAAAGATAGTGGTGAAGAAGATGACCCCCGTCCGGTTCTGCAGGGCCTTCTGGTCGTTGCCGACGGTCGAGAAGAGCGCGCCCACGATGCACGACATCACTATGCTCTGCAAGAGACGCACGTGCCACGTGTAAGTGAGAGGACAGATCTGCAGATGGAGGTGCCAAAAGGTAACGGTTCGGGAACATTGCAGCTTTTTCAGAAGACTCGCGCACCGACACTTAGCAGGTCGCAGATACATAGACGTGCGTTGCCCCAACCTAAGGTAGGTTGGTTCGTGACAAGGTCGAAGAAAGCGCAAAAGCAGGCGGCATATGTTTATACACCCAGCATTCTGGAACTTCAAGGACAATCAATTATCTGCTGTTCAAACAAACGTTCCACAAATGTCGCCCTCAATAAAACTACAATTCGAGCAGCCAACCGCGAGCTGCCACGTGTCCTCACCTGGACGAGCGCAATCATGAGCGGCAGGCGGTCCCTGCTGGTCTGGATGAAGGCCCGCCAAAGGAGCACCCGGAACTGGAGGATCCAACTGCTGGCGTACTTGCCCAGGCTCGAGTCCTCCAGACCCTTGCTGAGGTCACCCTTGGTGACGTCAGCGCCCGCCGGAGTGACCTCAGGCAGGTTCTGTAGGGGGGTGCGGGATACATTGGCTTATGACAGGACCGAGGGCAATAAGGAGAGATTGCTAGAAGAAATCTGTTGGCGGGAAGGCGGACCGCACGCTTGACAAAAAGCGGCCAACATTCGGCTCGCCCCTCTGCAGTTTCCACAGCAACCCATTCGTGGACAGCAAGCAACTTGAATAGGGGCTTGGGAAACGGTACACAAATGCGACCGGTTTGAAAAAGCGACTGTTTGCCCGAGGCTCCGCGCTGACGGTCGCCCAAAAAGGCACGCGGTCAGAGATTCGCAGCGACACTCAGTTGCATTTCTAGGGATTTTGCGTCGCTGGAGAGCCACGTACGGGACGCACCCTTCAATTGTTGGAGCCGAAACCCCAAAAGTGTAAAGTGGTAACTAACTAACTAACTAACTAACGCGGCCCAGGATAAACGTGCCCCTCGCCTCACCTTTTGCCACTCGGCCTGCAGCATCTTGACGCGCCCGGTGCTCTCCTTCTCGCGCTCGGGGTCCCGGGAGTCGAGCGAGATCTTGTCCATGAAAAAGTCGGCTGCAAAGAAGGGGAACCAAAAATGGTGGATGAGGATTCAGCGAACAGGAGATCTGGAGAGGCATAATGCAATCTCTAAGCGGTGACGAAAGCGACCGGCCGTAGCCAGCAAACAGTAGGGCGCCACGTGCTCTGGTCAAAGAAGACGGTTGACTGATAGATGCGTTCCGCAAATTAAAGAGATGGAAGATTCTCGATTCTGGCCTAGATCAGATCAACAGACATCCGCGCATTGTCAAGTGCCAAAGGACAACGTGTCTCAATCCGCCCAATCCGAGTTTCGCGCGCTTCGAGCACACAATATATGCTGGCATAATGACTACATCCCGCAGAGCGGCGCCTAAAACATATGCAGCGGAGCTTATTCGGTGCCTCAGCAAGGAGTCCATAACCGGGCTCTTAGATGAGGAGAGGAGAAATCAAAACGTAGCAATTTCTCACCAGTCGAACGACATCAACCAGCAGCATTACTGTGACTGGGTGGATGTTCTCAGCTTAAAAATGCTCACCTGGATTGAAATGCTGTGGGCACGTGAGGCCTTTGGAGTCGAAGTATGCAACGGCCTGGCTGGCCGGCCCGAAGTAGATCATCTCTCCTTCGGAGAGCAACAGGAGGTCCTCAAACTGCAGGATTTGGAAAACGAAGCGTTTGAAGCATATTTTTTGGGGCGATTAGGACGACATGCCCTTGCTCTGAGGTGCTATCATCGTGTGAGCAAACAACGTGAAGAAACGAAATTTTTAGCAAGATTCACGCCGCAAGATAGCTCGACAAGAGCGAGTGACTGGGCCCCCGAACACTCGATGACTAGTTAACAACTCTTGTTCAAAGAAGGTCCCATAGACTACGCGAGAGAGCCCAATAAGCAAACAGTCCAGGGTCTTTGTTTTGACGTCGGGCATCAGAGAATCAAGCTCTCGGGTCGGAAGAATAAGAGTGAAACAGAAGAGCAGCAGGGAGACGGCGTACCAGTGCGTAGATGCTGCTGCGAGGCTGGTGGATGGTGCTGCAGATTGGAACAGCAAGCGAGCTCAGTGGCATGACTCTGAGTCACAAAGACTGAATGATCTGCAGCGCTTTTCTTTTGCACCCTCTGGGGCCAGCGAACGAGTTTACAAGTATAGAAGCCTTCTGAACGTCGATACGAAACTGCGTTGTCATCTGGCTCATCCACAAGGCAAGCAGTTCCCGAAGCCGCCTATTCGGATGGAATACTAAAGGACCCCGAGCGCTTGTCCTTCCGATATTGATAAGGCGCCTAGATTTCATTTTGAATGTTGCTATCTGGAGAACTGCACCCACGACTTCAATGGTACAATCACCATGCAAAGTGCCCGCTTTGTTGGATGGAGCACTTGCTCGAAGGTGCGCGCAACCTGCTGAAAGCGATTGTCAAGCCCTCAGCATTGAGTTGCACTGCGCATCCGTCATCCGGGAGCACAGCTTCGGAGAGAAGAGCGGCTCACGAGATGATGGTGCGGCCCTTGTCGGCCAGCGCGCCCAGGCTGCTCATCACATTCAACGCCTGGAAACTGCAAAAAGGAATGACGACAAGATATGAGCGGGGCTGCATCGTACGACGATCAAGATGTGGTCAAATCCCGAGATTGCATTTTGGAGCGAAAGGAGCACAAGAGTAGCAGTTCTAAAGAAGCAAATGATGGACCGGGTGATAGAAGTATAAGGTAGACAAAGAGAGGGGGATGTGCAGACAATGCAAGCTAATTGTGCGGTCTCAACACGGCTCCACTTTATCTGATGAGATGAAGCAAAGAGGACAGGCACGAGAGAATAAGGCAATAGGAACGATGCTCATGAGGAATGGCTGCCACTTGTTTCGGAATTGCGGTCACTATTTTTTGCAGCAGCCGTAGGGCTAACCTGTCCAGCCCACTCGTTGGCTCGTCCAGAAAGATCTGCAGAGGGTTCGAAACCAGTAGTGTCAGAGAAGCAAACTACAGAACCAGTACAACTGATTGACCTGCGAAGAAACCACCTGGTGAAAATGGAAAATGATGGAAACGTCACTTCGAAAAACAGGGCTGATTGCCTCCCTTGTTGACGTGACATGTTCCAAAAACGGTAAGGCTTTTTATTCGTGATCCTATTGGCCGAAACCCTTACCGGGTTGACCGCATTGACCGAAATCGGAACTTGAGCGACTAAAATCCCCTACTACCCCCAGCAAATTCCCCGCTGCGAAAACGAGACATCCTTAACCCCGTATCAAACCCTTCATCGCAAACTCCCCTTTCAAAGGGGAGAACATTCTTGTTGCATCCAAAGTGCTTGTAGATGTGGCTAGAACCTCGTTAAGATTCACCTAAATCAACCGAACGGCTCAAAGGCACAAACAACGTCCAAGCTTCCAATCTTGGACAGCAAGATTGCTTCGATCTACCCACTCACGCATTCTGGTGGCACTGAAAGACACCACCTAGAACCAGTCCCTTCGCATTAGGCCAGATTTGTATCTCATCTGAACTCAACCCCACTGCACAAGCTACCGCACAACAGCCCCCCAGAGCAAACCGCTCACCATGGACGGGTTGGAGAGCATCTCCACAGCGATGTTGGCCCGCTTGCGCTCGCCGCCGCTGACCCCTCGCCGGAACGCATTCCCGATTATCGTGTTGCGCGCCTTGCCCAGCCCCAGCTCACTCACAATCGAGTCCACGCGCTCCATCTTCTTTTGGGGGGACATCTTGCTGGGCAGCCGCAGCAGCGCAGCGGTCGTGAGCGTCTCCTGAACCGTCAAGCTGCTGTAGAGGACGTCGTCTTGCATCACCTAGGGAGTGGGTAAGAAGTCAAGCGGTTAGAGAGTGGGGCTGGCAACTAGCATCACTTGGGGGAGGGGGGGATGTATCAAGGTGGTTAGGGGGTGGAGTAGCGGTCTTGCATCACCTGGGAAGGGGTGTGACAGAAGTGATTAGAGACTGGAATAGCAGTTTTGCATCCCTCAAGGAAGAACAAGTGAAACCGAGGGGGTGAGACGGTGGATTAGGAATCTTGCCACACTTGAGAAGGGGGGTAGATTGGAACGATGGACCGAAGGATGGATATGACTGCTCCCAGGGGGGGGGAGTATGATGGGATTGCCCTGGCCCATGATCCTTTCAAGGGAACAAGGTGCATAGCCTTTGATAAGATGATCCCAAGGCTGGCCAATGTCAGCATTATTTAACACCATATCAGGGGCCTTCCCTGAGTTAGTACTTCCTGAACCTGCTGAGACTGTTAATCAAATGTTGCTGCGGAATCTTAATGGTGGTCAGACCTTGCCTACGGGCGGAACAAGCCTAAGAGATAAAATACATTTGAATCAATCTCATACTCCTTTCACAAGGAGGAACTTCCTTCCCCAAGGAAAACTTAAAGGAGAAAATTCCCTGCAATCTGCCCACACTTCAAGAACAATTATTTCACCATTTTCACAACAGCTTCTCAGCTGGTGCGACAAGGAACAATTTCGTGGCAACCCCTGCTTTGGAAGAACCGACTTTCACCCTCCTGGAGATGTATCCAAGGCGCCTTATTGGGTGCAACCAATGACCTTTGAATTGAAATGCGGGTGCAGATGGTCCCCTGAGAGGGGCTACTCACATATGCAGTGATGCGCTTGAATGTATTCTCCCTCGGCTTGCCGTTCACCAGGATCTCTCCGTCCAAAGTGCCCACCCGCTGCAGCCGCCCCGCCAGCGCATTCAGCAAGCTGGTCTTCCCGCTCCCTAGAAAGATGCAGAGCATCCACTCGTTCCAATCAAATCAGAGGTACTTCATTCTGCCCGACTATCCCGTCAAGGACAGAATCCCATCTTGCAACAGACAAAATCCAATTGCCAATCAAAGAAAACATAAATCACTAGCCGGTGGTCATACCGTGCTTTCTTTGCAACCGTTCAAGGTGGTTAAAGTTTCCAAATGCAATGATGGCTGGAAACGGGCAAGGAATCTGGCCCTGGTCTGGTGCTTAACAAGAAAAGAACATAAAGAATCAAACCACACTTGGACAAAACCCCAAACAGTGAAGCCTGGCTGGATAGCCGCGGTCAACGATGGGCAGCGACGAAATGCTCAAGAAAGTACCAAAACCCCGTGCTAAAGCACAAAACTCCACTCATTTCCCCAGAATGTGGAGAATACCAGAATGTCCACAGTATCATCCTCACTTAGAATCGACCGGGTTCGCATTCCTGAGTTGCATGACTTACCCGTGGGCCCCATGATCGCCACAAAGGTCCCCGCCCGCACCGTCCCTGAGAGGTTCTTAAGGATGCGCTTCGTGACCTTGCCCTCCTCGGCCTTCCCCTTGCCCTTCTTGACCACTATGCTGTAGTTGAGCTGCCGCCACTCCAGAGACACCCGCACCGTCTGTGCCGAGAGGCTGAGTGTGGCGTCCTTCAGCTTGCGAGAGTGGCCCTTCTCCAAGTCGTGCGCCGCCGCATCTCCATGGGGCGCCTGCATTTCGAGCGCGGCATGGGCCTCGTGCGCACCATTTGCAGTGTGTGCAGCATGAATGCCGTTCTCAGGGTCCATTGCGCTTTGTATGGAGGCTCGCTCTCCGATGACGTGAGTCAACTCCTGGTCAGGTCCCCAACTGATGCTCAAAAATTCTGATTTTTGGAACAGAAAGTTTTCATCTTTACTCGGTATGAGACCTTCATTAAGAGTTTCCCGCAGTCTTGGCAGCTATCTCTTTGGTTATTAAAGAGAACCTTCACACCAATGCATACTTGAGCTCCTCTGCAGGACAGTAAGACTTTCTTGAACATCGGCGACGGTTGCTTCTCTCAAGGGCTCCTTGACGACTCCTGAAGCACCAACTTCGACACCCGGAAGAGGACTATCCGTCAGACTCAATCAGCAATGCAGCGGGCTGCACCACCCTTGAGAGAGACAGTTAGTGGACAAATCCAGCCTTCTTGTGATCATTGTGCTCCTCCCTTCACTGAACGTTCCCTGAGGCTGCAGGCTGCGTCGGATGGCGGCAGCAACATTTGGCACAGCAAGCCAAATGAAGTTCGGTGTTAAATTTGGACCAATCACAGCGCCCCACGTCATACCCCCCAGAGCCTGAAGGTGTGATGATGTCGTGATGGTCGTACCAGGGGTCGAAAACCTGAGGTGGGGGCCGGGAACAGACCCAAGTGGTCCCAACCCGATCACCGGGCACTCGGAAGGTAGGCACCCTGAGCAGGTTACTTTAGGCAGGATTTTGCTTCTCCAGACAGTCAATCACAAAATTGCATCTTTTTCAGGTATGGCCTTATATACATACATATTGGCAATTGGGTCGGATGAGCGAAACTCTGTACTACTAATCTGTTATAATCTCTTCTCCAGAAAGTCAATTACAATATTGCATCTTTTTCAGGTATGGCCTTACATACATACATATCGCCGAATGGGAACCGAAGGGAAAACTCTGTACTACTAATAATCTGTTATCATTCTTTCCCTGGAGAAGAAAAGAATTATATGTAACAGATTGTAGTATGAACTTTCAGGACCTTGGCCGACTTTGGTGATATATATGCATATAAGGATCGCCCCCCGTCACATATTGTCCAGTTAGGCAGGTATAAGCCGTGGCCAGGACGAGAGGGTTGTCTGTCCAACCCGTTTTTCCTGTCCTGTCGATTCGTGCAGTCAATTACAGATATCATCATATACATATCATTCGGGTGGGATAGTCAAAACATAAGCGGGAACTTGGACACAAGATTCACCTGTCCGTCCTGTCCTCCTGTCGACTCGCTCTGTTCTTATTATTCGAACATTCTACATGATATGGGTCAGATTGACGTCCGTCCTGTCTGAATGACAGATTGGAGGTGAAGTGCTTGAGCATGAAGGCGGAGGACCGGACACGAGAACTTCTGTCTGCCCTGTCTCTCCTGTCGTCCTGCTAAGTACGGGTCAGAGAGTCCCAACACCTGTCTTGTCTACGAGTCTTCTGACATTCGAGGACCATCTTCAGGCGCAAGCAATCTCTGCGTCTGCGAGTTTCTTTTGCGCATTGGTTCTCTTGACAGGACAGCACTTTCCTATCCCTTTGCCGAATCTCCCTTCTCTGACGCTACCTCGCTCAAGAAGCCTACTGGAGTTCAGAGACCCCTAACATGGGTACTGTGGAGGCTGTTGAGTCGGAGATTGCAAGGGTGAATGCAGCCATCGATGCTCTTTCAGCAGAGATTAAGGAAGCAAAAGAGAAGGTTGATCGTGCGGAAGCGGCTGGCAATGCAGACGCTGCAAATCGGTGGTTCACTGAGCTGCAGCAGCTGCGCAAGGACAAAGAGCAGCTGCGCAAAGAGAAAGAGCAGCTGCGGGACAAGGAGGCCCGGCTGGAATCTGCAGGTGCGTGTCTTTTCTTTTTAAGCATGTTGACTCTCTCATGCACAGGTCTTGAAAGATTGTGCAAAGCCGCAGGCAGGTGAGTGCACATGCTCAGAGCACCTTCGTCAGGGTTTGTTCCCATCAGTGTGGGTTAGAAATGAGCGGCTCTCGCCAGCACCTTTGTGTGTGCCGCTCGCTGTAATTGTGGGAGTTGAAGGGAACATAAGAATGCTTGTAAGAAATGGAGCAGCATTTGGTGAAGTACTCACAGAAGTCAGACCTGTGCGATAGCTCTCGTGCATGCCTGCAAGTGAGTGGAGTGCTGGAGCTTTCTGGTTTGGAACAGGCCGTGGTTCGCACCACCCCTGTCAAAGGTTTTTCATTCTTCAGGACAACATCCTTTCTGATGTTAAACCTGCCCAGCAGCATTCGTGCATGCTGCAATCTGGTAGATTGCAGAAGCTCTCTGGTTGACGGTAGACGCAGTGATCCACACCAACCCTCCAGTGTGTCCTGCTTGGGATGAGACACTGCTCAACTTTTTGCAATCTCGAATTTTGGCACCAGCATGCCCGCTGAAGGTTTTGTCAGGGTGCTTTTGTTTGGCGCTGTCAAGCAAAATTCCTTTGCAAGATCAATGTTTCCCATCGTCTTTCTGCAGATTGGTCAGGCGCATGCTCGAATGCTGACTTGCCCGCAAGCTGTGCAGAGTAGTGCAACAGAGTTTCTTACAAGGATGGGGCAGAAACTTTCTGTTAACGTGGCCGCTGTGTCTAGATCAAAGCGGAACTCTTGGATTGTCATTGTGGAAGCCTCTTTTATGTCGCTTAACAAATGCTGTTGATCTCGTGCAGCAACTGCTGGGGCAAGTACCTCTGGAGTTAGTGAGTACCGTTGAACACTTTCCAATTTTCTGCTGGGCTAGAGTGTCTATTTGCATATAGGTCGGCTGTCATTCAGCTGACTCTGAAGTTGAGCTGGACTGCGACTCAAACCAGGAGGGGTCAGCCTGTTCGTGCAATCCTTGCCAAGAGGCGTTTGCTGGTATTTGTAAAGTCGCTTGAGATCACCTTACTGTGCAAGTCTCTAGACCCTTTGAGTGCACACATGCATGCTTTGTGCAGAACAATGTTCTTGCTTGAAGACTGGAAGGAACTCTTATCTTTCTCTGTGCAGTGTCGCCAGCTCCGCAGGCGTTGTCAGACTTTTGGACGGCTCTGCCAAACGCTTCTTGGTCCGATGATGGGAAAGTCATGACGCTTGTTGATGGGACCCACTTTTTGGGGCACGAGGGGCTCAGCAATCGGTTATACCGCCGTGACTGCTATCCAGATTTGCAGCAGGACGTTTCTGAGCTCTTTGAGCAAGAAGACAGGACGGGCAGGAAGAAAAACCGGGCGGTGGCGATAATCGGAAATCCAGGTGAGAAGAGGACAATTATCTCTGAGAAGGGGTTTGGGTCCATTTCTGTCTTTGAAGAGAGCTTCGGGCTGTGTTCTGTGAGCTCTGTAATGTCGCTTCTTTTGGAGGTTCTGACGGGGCGTCCAGACTGCACAAAGTTTAGCCAAGTATTTTTCCTTA